AACCCTAAGCCCTAAACCCTAAGAACCCTAAACCCTAAACCGTCCACAGAGTCCTCTTTCGGATTCAGGGACTCTAAGTCAAGGTACACAGGTAGCCGTAGCCTCTTGCGGTACTGCTCATGGCTTGGAAATGGAGGCGTTTAGGTCTATAGGACCTAGAGAGCCTAAATAGCGCCGCCATAACTTCTGCTAGCCTTTGGTTTTTAGGCTTATAAAGTGTCCATATATTCGGAAACCTTAAACCCTAAACCCCAACCCCTAAACCCCAAACCCTAAACCGTAAACCCTAAACCCCAAACCCTAAACCCCAAACCCCGGTAGGGCCCGGGCAGTGGCTGGGTGCTCTCAACGCCGAGAGCCAACGTCGCACGGTCCAGCCTTAAGTTCGGGGGTTGGGGTTTTGGGGTCTAGGGTTTGGGGTTTAGGGGTTTAAGGTTGAGGGTTTCGGGTTTGGGGGTTTTGGGCTTAGCGTTTTGGGGTTTAGGGTTTAGGGCCGTAAGTTGGGGGGGGTTGGGGTTTTGGGGCTTAGAGTTTAGGGTCTTAAGTTGGGGGGTTGGAGTTTTTGGGTTCAGGGTTTGGGGTGTTGGGGTTTAAGGTTGAGGGTTTCGGGTTTTGGGGTTTTGGGTTTAGAGCTTTGGGGTTTAGGCGGTTTAGGGTTTAGGGCCGTAAGTTGGAGGGGGGGGGTGGAGTTTTTGGGTTTTGGGTTTAGGGTCTTAAGTTGGGGGGTTGGAGTTTTGGGGTTTCCAGAGCAGTTCTATTAAGGTCCATATGCGGCTTCTGTAGGGACTTGCATGGGTTTGAAAGAGTTCTAGAGGGAGTTATCTAGCATTCCGGATTCGAGGTGCGGGGTGGCATGCAAAGTTTGTGCTTAGCTTATATGGGCTAGGAGCTTAGATTCAGAGCTGCGGGTTCGAGGTTCTTGCAAGCCGTCCCAAAAGGCAACGTCCCGAAAGGAACCCACAAATCCTAAACCGCGACCGAAGATCAAAAGCGGCACCCGGAACCAGACATTGCGCTCTGATTTCGGGCCCAAGCCTAAACCTTAAGGCCGACATCCGATCATCCCACAACCCAAAGCCTCACCTGGACCCTAAAGAGCCTCCCGTTCTAGGGTTTCTTCATATGACTTCCTTATAAACATAAGTCCTTAAAGTTGTAGGTTGGGGTTAAGGTCATCCCTAAGGCCCGAAAGCCTGAGCCCTCAGTGGCTTCCCGAAGCTCCAGATTTTACCTAGACCCTGGTTATCAGCTCGGGTTGCTAATTCCGTTATTTCGGGTTTAGGGTTTAGGGGGTAGGGGGTTTAGGGTTTAGGGTATAGTGTTTAGGGAGATCATAGGATTTCTGGACCCTTGACCAGCCCATCGGCCCGAAACCAACAACAGCAAACCTCAAACCCTAAACCCTCAAACCCCACGGGTTTTGGGTTTAGGCCCTGAACTCAAAACCGACCTGTGACCCCAACCAACCCATCTTTTTTTATAATTAAGGACCGAGATAAGGAGTCTAGGATGCCCAGTCCCCTAGGAATACAAAGGGGCTCCCTTTTTGGTTTTGGGTAGGCTTAGAAGGAACCTAAGACCACAAAAAGGGCAAAAGGGTCCGCTGGGAGACCTAGCAATACATATGGAGGCACCCCATAGGCAGATTGTTTAGGGTCCAGGTAATCTCAAAGCCCCAAAACCTGAACGCCTAAACCCAAAGGCCCTAAACCCTAAAAGCCTAAACCCTGAAACCCTAATGGTTAAGCCCCTGAAACCCTAAAGCCTTAAACCCAAAGCCCCTAAACCTTAAACCCTAAACCCCGAAACCCTAAACCCCAAAACTCCAACCCCCCAATTTACAGCCCCATACCCCCATACCCCCATACCCTAAAACCCTAAAACCCTAAACCCCGAAACTCTAAACCCTAACGCCGCAAAGATCCTGGAGTAGGCCCCCTGCCAGGCCATCACGCGCCGCGCATCCAACGAAGCGGCCGTGCCGACGCTCGTGTAGGTGTAAGCCTAGTTTAGGATTTAGGGTTTCAGGGTTTAGGGTTTAGGGTTTAGGACTTTGGGTTTAGGGTTTAGGATGTAGGGATTAGGGTTGAAGGTTTAGGGTTTAGGACTTAGGGTTTAATTTGAGGTGCCTCACACTCGATCCTACCTCGAGTTATCCTAGTCTATTCTGCTTATGCGCACTTGGCACGGAACGTGAAGCGGTTCACCTCAAAGAGGTATAGGTCCAAGTAGAGCTGCACCTCCCCGTTGGCAGGAGCCCATTGATGATGGTAATTCTTTGGCAGCTGAGCAATGGGCGAAGGTCGGTCTGCCAGTGAATCTCCATCCAAGGGAATGTGCTCTCCAGAGTGGCAGTGATCGCCTGAACAGGTTGACCCCCGGTGAGAAGAACGACAAAGTCCAGATCTGCATCCACAAAATTCACTCGGCGCCACAACACTCCGAAATTGTCTCCGTAACGCATGTCTGCCAATCCCGTGCCACCTGTTGGTACGACATGTGCTTTCATCGCATCCCTGAGGAACTGCAGAACTTGCAACAACTCGTGCTGAACGGCTTGGGCGTGGGATATGTCCAGCGGCGCTCATCTTCTATGCATCGGGTGTTGAGGACCTGTACACAAAAGGCATGAGAAGCTGGAAAGGCTGTAATGAGGTCCGGTTCTTCAACCCTAAAGTGACGAGAGCGTTTACAGTACCGCTGAAATAAAGCTAACTGAGCCCGAAACCCTGCGCCCCAAACCCCAAACCACAACCATGATGTTTTTTCACCTTCAAGTCCTCCAGCATAACCTGAACCTTCGCAGTGTTTCCAGACTTAATGGCATCACGCACAAGCGGGAAGATGCACCGCGAGAAGTCGGAATAAGTTAAAGCAGACTTTCGACCCGATTTTGTAGTCAGTGGGTGCTTAGCTAATAAAGGCTTTCTTGAGATGTAAAGGTATCGTGTAACTTACATATACGGCTCCGTAGGGGTTTGCAAACCCTAAAACCCTAAACCTAAATTGAGAAATCCCTAATCCACAAACCCTACTCCTTCCACCCAAAATGGCAACTCCCCAAAGCCGCCCTACTTCTGGGCCTAGCGGGAACGCCTGGGTAATGATTACGCTGAGCACGTCTGATTATTCCTGTGGCCGAGAATTAGAAACAACACCCCAAACCCTAAACCCTATACCCTAATGAAACCCTGAAGAAGCCCTCAAGACCCTACACAGAAACTCAGAAAGCCCTTTAAATACTGTTGCGCCCTACTCCCATAACTAGTATAATTAAAGTTCTCATACAGAACCTATCGAAACACTTGAAAGGAAGCCTACAGCCTACGCCTAGAAATCCTCGCCGTAAGCCCTTGAACCCGCGTAAACCCCACACCCCAAGACCCGAAAACCCGAAAGTCAGAAACCTCTAGTCTACATCCTGAAACCTCACCCCTCATCCGAATTGTCCAAGTACCTCATAATCAGATACTCTTCTGAATACTAACCTACAAAACTGCTACCCGCAAGCCAAGTATATGCTTCTTAGGGTAAAGCCCCTGAAGCCCTAAACCCTAAACCGTGCTAGTTGGCCGAAACCCTGAACCCCCTAAACCCTGAACCCCCAGACCCCAACCCCCGCCTCCGGCCGACACAGAAAGTTGGCCTTGCCGCCAAAGCGCGTGCCGCCATGGCGCGCCATTTTTGGATTTAGGGTTTAGGGTTTCTTACAGGTTTGGGAGTAGGGTTTAGGATTTTTTGTATTTAAAACGACTTAGACTAAGCTCGTATTGGCCAATAATGCCTGCGTGACTACAAAAGGCATCCAGAAATAAGGCAACTATGCTTATAAGTGCGTTTAACCCGATTAAGGTACTTATAACCCTACTTACTATAAGTACCAAGATCCTCCAAGAAGGCTTTGTTGGGGGTTTGTGTGGGGGTCTTACGGGCCGAACCACTATGATGACGCACATTCGGACTCGCGCGCTCTTTGGGCTTTGAGTCGTGTGGGAGTGCCAGGTCAGTTCTGCCGG